TGTTCTGTATCTCTCTGACCCAGCTGCAGTTTGTTAGGTAATTTTAGATTTCAAAGGGCCAGGCCATTAATATGCAAAAGTCTCTGTGCACCGCTTGGGTGGGGCGGGGTCTCAGGGAATCAAAAGGGAAGAGCAAGCAGCTATGGCTGATCCTCAGTCTTGCCCTAAGGGGCTCCGCATCTCAATGTCCCGGTAATTGCTGCAAGCACCTTTGAGAGAAAGCCGCCCTCGAGTTTCGAGTTCTTCCCGCTGCCAGACAGTCCAGGTTCTCCCCATATGAGTCTGGGTCCCCAGGGACTCACCCAGAACTAGAGTTCAGAGCAGTCAGGGGCTTGTGACTCCCTCCCGATTCAAAAAGACAACTGCATCCTTATAGAGTTTACACTCAGCCAGCCTTCCTGTGGTTCTGGATGATGTCTGTTTTGTCTTTTAGTTGTATTTTTGAATTTGTTGTGGGAGGTAGCAATTTCCGGTGTTTACCTATGCTGCCATCTTGGTTTCTCTCTAGCATACTTTTCTTCTAGCACTATTATAAATTAAAATACGGTGTGTGTGTGTGTGTGTGTGTGTGTGTGTGTGTGTGTTTTCTGTCCTTTAAGGCATGAGGGAGAGATGACATTGTATGTTTAGGCTGACACCTTGATCCAATCCTATGCATTGCCTAATGGATTTCCTTCCCCACTCCTACTCTAAAACATTCCTTTCTTCCCCTTCCAACTGGTTGATCTGGATATTATAAGTGCTGTGAGAGATATGGTGCAGAACAGTTTGTGAATATGTTTAGTTGGCATGCACCCATTGAAAAACTAGTTTGGTTTCCATCTCTTTATGGCCTAAACCAGTGATGGCGAACCTATGACACGTGTGTCAGAGGTGACACACGAACTCATTTTTTTGGGTTGATTTTTCTTTGTTAAATGGCATTTAAATATATAAAATAAATATCAAAAATATAAGTCTTTGCTTTACTATGGTTGCAAATATCAAAAAATTTCTATATGTGACATGGGACCAGAGTTAAGTTAGGGTTTTTCAAAATGCTGACACGCTGAGCTCAAAAGGTTCTCCATCACTGGCCTAAACATTGATTTCTGACTGAAATGCTATAACTTGAATTCCACTAGCATGCATTTTCAGTTCCATTTACAGAAAGGTCTGCTTAAGTCACAAATAGTCCTCTTTAGTAACAACTAGTAACATTGCAATATCACTATTCTTCTGGGTGATGTATTGGCAATACATGTATCCTACTTTCTCCCATGGGTGACACACGTTTAAAGCCCAATAACTAGACCATTGGCAAGGCCTGGCCCAAGCTAAATGCAATGTAACTCAGAGATTGTTGGCAATGAAAGGTAGCATTTAGAATGTACTATTTATAAAGTCAGGAAAAAAATTCCACAATTACTCATAAAAGACTAGTACTTTATTTGCTGTCTCCATTATTTAAATTATTCTCATTTCATTTTCTATGTTTTATCTTGACACATCCAATACAGAGTTCATTTTTACTTAAGGTTATCAAATTCAAACTGTAGGATTTCAGATTTAAAAAGTTAATTAGGTTAGGCCTATCATCTGATATTTGAAAGGTTTTGTGACTTTTCCAAGTTCATATATTGACCTCGAGGTTGAGCTGGCCCCAGAAAGTTGCCTGAGTTGAGCACTATTTACACATATGTTTACATTTACAAGAGATTTTATTTATTTTTTATTTTTTAAATATATTTTATTGATTTTTTACAGAGAGGAAGGGAGAGAGATAGAGAGTTAGAAACATTGATGAGAGAGAAACATCGATCAGCTGCCTCCTGCACATCTCCCACTGGGGATGTGCCCGCAACCAAAGCACATGCCCCTGACCGGAATCGAACCTGGGACCCTTCAGTCCGCAGGCCTACGCTCTATCCACTGAGCCAAACCGGTTTTGGCACAAGAGATTTTAAAAACCCCATCTCATTTGTAAATTGCCAAAGAAAAACTGGAAAAAAACTTGATGGCAGCCTGAATAAAATGTTTTCATCTTATTGAGGGAACATTGAGAGGGAAGGATGAATTAATAACTTTCTTAAAATAATCCACATCAGGAGTTGTCAAGGGAACAGGTTGGCGTTCTTATTATCAGGCCTCTCCACTTCCTAAAAGGAGAGAGGTACGTTCTCAAGGAAATATTTCATGGTTTAATCCCTACACTCACACAAAATATAGATTTGTTTTCAAACTGTTGGAATAGAACTGTCTTCTTGATTTGTGGTGACTTTAAGAAAAAAAAATGTCCAGCAAAGCCAGACCTAGGTAATCCATTATAAATTGGAGAATGATTCACCTGTTATCCCAGATAAAGTAAAAGAATGAATCACAGTGTTGCTTTAAATTCTTTCCAGCTTTTTGTTTATTGTTTCCTCTTGCGTGGAATTCCATTTATTTATTCATTTATCCCCAGCCCCTAACAAAGGGGGCATGTAGTAAGCCCTTAAGTACACATTTAATCCTAGGCATTTCTGCTCTGTATTATCTGAAGAGCTCTCTCTCTGCATCTGCCATGAATAGTTCTTTAGAATCTAAAGAGTGGGCAAACTTTTTTCAACTCTAAGAGTCTGCAAACTATTGCTGGTAGGCCAGGCACATGTTTCTGTAAATAAAAGTTTTATTAGAACACAACCAGGCCCATTCATTTGTCTATTACCTATGGCTGCTTTTCCTACAAGAACGGAGCTGAATGTAAGCGACAGACACTGTATGGCCTGCAAAGTTTAAAATATATACTATCTGGCCCTTTACAGAAAAAGTTTGGCAATCCTTGCCTTTAGAATCTATTTATTGCCTTTTATGGCCAACCTGGCATGAAGCCAGAGAATAGCTGAACAATAAATGCACATGACAAATGTTCATCAATCAACAAAGTGTTCACCTAGTTGTGGAAGTCTAATTTAGTGTTATAAAGTCACAGACTTAGCTAATATATAAATCAGCAAACATAAGTACTAATGGTTTATATTAGTATGACACTTTATAGATTGTGAACTATTTCATATGCATTATCTCATTTGATCTTTCCAATAACCCTAAAAGTAGACAGGCGGGTGTCATTTTTTCAGGAAAGAACAGATTCTGAGATAGTGGATATCCCAGGGTCAAAAGAAACTCAGATTCCGGAGTTTATAATCTTTTTTTTTTTTTTTTTTTAGCAGCTAACATGATTTATCTCTGGAAAACACCATTTTTAAAAAAGGAGACAGAGAGCTATTAATATTTATCATCTCATCATGCACTGATTTAAAATTACACATTAAAAGATCACTTATAATTAATTCTACTTTATAATAACATGTTTTGTCTTCTTAATGTGTTTTTATGTCAATAAGGTGGGAATAAAAATAAAATAAACATTTAATATAATAATTTAAAAAGTCAAAATAAATTTTAGCCTAATTGAATTACAAGTTAAAAATATAACTGTAAATTTTCAAAATTTTAGAACTTTTAAATTAAGTCAGTAATCTGGCCTTCTTGGGTTAGCAATATTAAGACAAAAAAAATTCTTGGAGTAGCAGAAGAAAATAAATTTTAGTAAAAATATGAGTATATATGAAAACATGGGCATATGATACAGTGCTTTGTTATGGGTCAAGTTATTTTGAGCTAAATATTTCCGTGTAAGCTACACACCTGTAGATGACTGTTATGATATATTTCTCACACCATACAAGCATTGGTCTCTGTGTGAGCAAAAATGAGACTTTTTAATGGACCAAAAAATTGCTGTATCAGTCTTGTAATGGCATAAAATAGTGCCGGATACTATATGATTCCAACTATGGCAATTGGAAAGGGTAAAACTATGAAAAACAGTAAAAAGAATCAGTTATTTCTAGGGGTTTGGGGAGAGAGGGATAAATAAGTGGGCACAGAGTATTTTTAGGGTAGTGAAACTATACTCTGATACTTTAATGATAGATACATGCCATTATAAATTGGTTCAAAACCAGAAAACATACAACAATAATAGTGAGTCCTAATGCAAACTAAAGACTTTGAGTGATGGTATAAACATAAGTGCTAATGGTTCATCAATTGTAACACATACACCACTCTAGAGCCTTTGCATGTGTGGAAGCAGAGATATACAGGAAATCTCCATCCTCTTTATTTTGCCGTGGACCTAAAACTGCTCTAAAAAATCCAACATATTTTTAAAAATTAGTACAATGGGCTAAAAAAAAAAAAGCCAAATTCTATATTCTCTGAAGCTAAATGTACATTAAGATTTTTTCTTTTGGCATATTACAGCATAGATACAAACAATAACAATAACAAAAACACTGCCCCCCCCCCAAAAAAAAATCAAAACAAAGGCCTAGAATTCTTTTAGGAGAATTAATCCAGAGCGAAAATAAACTTACTTCACACCTGGGTTGAGTTTCCCATGGACACGACTCCTTCTCCTGAGGGAGAACCCCTCTTTGGAAAGCATGGTCTCCTAGGCACGTCCGACACACGGAAGGCTCTAAGTCGGGCTCCCCATGGGGGCTGTGCACCACTGAGGGGCCCGTATACTTCAGGCTGGGACTCTGATGCTTGTCCACACTGACCATTGGATTTTTGATCCACCTTCGTACCTACAATGTGCAAAAGAGAAGAATAAACAAATGCATTTGACCTCCTTTGATGTTTAATTGGGCTTCAGTGGGATATATGGTGCATGGGTATTCATGAAAGGAGAATTCAGGCTCACAACTTCTCTATCAGGCTGACCAATGGCTTTCCAGGAGTGTATGTTTTTTGGCTTGTTGTTTCATCTCGCTGAGTCTGTCTCCCCATCTGTAGGACTGGGGAAATAGTATTTTCTTTCTGGTTGTTGTGAAGATGTTATCAAACGCTCAAGTGTTTTGTCTGGTGCATAGTATTCAGTAGATGATGACTATTTTACTTTGACTCTCACTGTTATAATTATGCTGATAAAATGGGAGTTCATAAATCTCTAAGGTGGATTATAGTAGTTATTCTAACTAGAGAAAGTACTAACTGTGTAGCGTAAGATATAATTGCTGTTAAATGAGTTAACCTATATTTCATCATTGCAAAAATTTTATTACAAAAGAAGTTGCTTTTTGAGAGTTTTCATCAGTATTTCTTACACTCTAGGGCTCCATAAGCATGTTAATAAGTGTAATCAAAGTATTTATTTGATTCATTAATAAAAGCCTAAATGAAAATCTAAAAGTTTGAGACTACAGTAGAATCTCTCATTGTTTTTAGTATCACTTATGTTTTTGATCAATCTAAAAAGTGCTAAATTTTATTAGAGATGAAAAATGTTTTTATTATTTTTATTTAGAGGGTTTTGAGCTTGATGTTTGATAATTGTTCCTGATTAGTTGCCAACATTGTATTTTAAAAACGACCTTTTATTCTGGCTTATTTTCAATGTCTCTTTTGTCAAGTAGATTTAACTTTGGGGTTACTATGAATAGAATTTTAAACAGATATATCTTCAAAAAATTTGTATGACCTGACTGATTAAGAGTCTAGGTATATTTGGCTGCCTCCTGCATGCCCCACACTGGGATGCCAGCTCGAAACCTGGGCATATGCCCTGACTAGGAGTTGAACCCTGACATCCTGGTTAATAGGTTGATGCTCAACCACTGAGCCATGCCAGCTGGCCAGGACCACTATATTTTAAGTAAATCTCATATAATATTATTTTACAATTATTCATTTTAATGGAATAATGTTCATGTGACTGAATCTAACCTTCATTAGGTTATAGAGTGGTTTTATCAAAAGACAGAAATTTATATACATTACTAGTATATCCCACTTCAAAGTATACAAATGATTGATACATTTAAATGATCTGTTGGATATTTGAAATCAGAAGGATTAAGAATCTCATAAGGAATTGTCATTTTATTTGGTGTCCAGCTAAGAATTCCCAAAATAGTTCATATGGCCTTGAGCAAAGCTGTCACACAACCAACTGATTTTTTAAATACAATTTTAGAGTCAGAAGAGACTCAAAGATGTTAATAAGTTGCCCAAAGTCACACTGTAAATTATTAGGTGGTCAAAACTACACCTCTTGGTTAAAGCAAACATTAAATTAGTTTCTAGTAGGGTATAATTGTCAAACTGAATGCTTTCAGATGCTGGCAGGAACAGAAAGTTCATAAAGCCCTATGACCAGGGTATAAAAATAGGGAGTGGTGAGGACTGTGGCAAATGTCCCAGTTTGCTAAGGACATTTAAATTTAAATTATAAAACAAATGAAACCCCCAAGCAAACAAACAATGTTGGCCAAACAAAACCCTAGTCAAATTTACCCCACACCTTCATGGGTCACTGTCATAAAGTTATTCTATCAAGTAGAACAAGTATGAAGTGGAATTCTATGAAGTAGAAATAAAATGATTTCATATCTTCTAATTAAAAAAAAGCACAACAAAAAAACAATCTAATGTTTTCAACATTTTAACTTTCATTTATTTATTCACCATTCATTTTTGAAGACCAACTATGTGTCAGGCATAATCTAGGCATCTGCAATACACCAGTTAACAAAACATCCCACATGGAGCTGGAGTTAGAGTTAAGGGAATACATTTATTTATTAAGGGAATACATTATTTATTTAATAAAATAAGTAAACTATAATATGTAAGGAAGAAAACAAAGTAGAGACAAGTGATCAGTATCATTTGGGGTGAGAGGGTACAGTTTTAATTGAATGAGAAAGGAAGTTCTTCCTGAGAAGGTGGCTTTTCAGTAAAGACCTGATAAGGCTGTAAGACATCTAAGTGAGCTATCTATTAGGCAACTGGATCATTAAGTCTGGATTTCAGGGGAAAGATTCAAGCTGCAAATACAAATTGGAGACGTGAAACAAATAGCTATATTCTATTTAAATTTCTCAGGGGAAAAACAAACAAAGAAATAAATGGCTTGCCTGAATCTACTTGTGAAGTATGTGTCAGGTATTAAGTTCATAGTTCTGGGGCTCTGATTATTATAATCTATATTTCACTTAAACTTACTGCAATATGCGTTAAACTCAAGTCTTCAAAGAGTGGGTATGTGTTTTGTTTCCCTACCACATTCCACAGGGGGGCAAGGTGTGGGCAAGGCAACCTTTTATTAGAAAGGCCCAAGATTTGAATGATCTTCAATGAATAAACCCATCCTGAGCCTTTTGAATATTGGAAGATGATATTCCCTTTCTTTCCACAGAGAATGTGGCAGGGGAAGTGTAGAAATATTCAATTTCTCCAGAAGCATCAGGGAGAAAGGTATTGCAAAAATAGTCATACATTCTGTAACAGCACTGCTCCTGGCATTAATTGCATGATTTGTCTTGAAATGTTTTGTCTGTTTTGGCTAAGTCCTCATACTGGCTTCAATGTGTACCTTCCCTGCTACCCCTTCACACATTTCACTGGCTTTGTAGCCTCCCAAGTGGTTTTTATAGGCCAATGAATGAAGGGTTTATGATGTTTACTTGATCTTGAGAGAGGCTGGCTGTCAGTAAACTCACCGGGCTCTCCTCTGGCCTTAGTCAGGCTGGGTGCCCTCCAAAACTGCTGCGGGGAGCCGCTCTCTGCCCCTGAGGGAATTCAAGCTACAACTGGCCTCTTGTGTTTCTTCAGGCGGAGAGTTGCTCTGCTGGAGGGAGTAGCTCAGAGACAAGCCCCAGTGGCTCTCAGGAAGCTGTAGCAGCTGTGTGTGTGTGCAAAGTGAATGCCCGGATAGAAGTGACAGCCCTGCTCCTTGGCCACCTGGCCATGGCTTTGTTCAGAGCTAGACACGCGTTGTGGAGAGCATTGTATACAAACCTAGACTGGGGCAAGACATCCTCCTTACCCGGAACAAATCAAGAATTCCTTCACCCTGGCTCTATAGGAGCCTGGTCTCCTGAGCCAGACTAGAAGCAACTACCTCTCTAGACACTGGGGTGAGAAAGCAAGGCCCTCTGTCAACCATACAGCTACTCTGACTGAACAATGCATGCAAAATATTAATCTAATTTCTCTGCTAAATCCAGTTGGATCTGATTTTATTAATTTATTTATTTGAAAAAAAAAATAGCTCAAAGCAATGCTCCCTCCGACTACAAAATAGCCAGATGTGATTAAAGAGATGGGCAAGCTCCTGGGGATTTTCCAAGTGTGGTTTTTTCCCCCCACTTTGTAATAGTAAACAGATAGTCTCCTTAATTTAAAATGGGTTCGCTGATAATAATATCAACTGATGCAGAACAATTCTAGAGTGTTCAGGTACTTACCAGTATTTGTGAACCCAAGGCAGTGCCTGCTAGTCTCATCCTCCCTCTTGTTTTCCGGAAGTGGAAACCTAGCTGTCTTTTCCTTAAAATCCAACTAGATGTCGGACACAACTTCTGCAATTTCCAGAGAGGCATATTTATTGCAGAAAACTGACTTAGTTTATATGATGCCACAGTAACTTTCAATTCAGATATAGTCAAGCAAGTTTTCCAGAGAAATTATTTGGCTAATTCAGTTGATTATGAACAGGGACCTCCTTTTCAGAGGGTACCTGTCAGCAGGTTGGTGATAACATTAATGTAATTCAGGAGAAGGCACCTGGAAGCAAATTCCTCTCTCACTGTGCCTGAGGCTACTTCATTATATATATAATTAGAGGTCTGATGCACAAAATTCATGCATTGGGCCCTCACAGACTTGGCTGGCCCTCGCAGCCCTGGCTTTCTCCAGAAAGTCATCCAGATGGTTGTCAGGACAGTCATTCTGCTGTTTGGTCTAATTAGCATATTAGCTCTTTATTATATAGGCTATATATATGTATAGTCTACATGAGATGTGAAGAAAATAAGCTGAGAGGGGAGAGGTGAGAACTGAAACTCCACAGAAAGGTTGGTAAGTGGTCAGTGAAGTATATGCAGGAGAGTGAGATTGTCAGATGTGTCTTTCAATGCAGGATGAGGGATGAATTTAAGATGGTCAAGAACACAGCTAGCTGGCTTACTCAGGAATTGTTTATAAAAGAAATGGTAAGGGCCAAGCAAGAATAGTAGTAGTGAGAATGGAAAGAAGTGGTGAATCATCAAGCCTATTGATCATTTAGCTCTCCAGTCTACATCCTTTTCTCTATCCAAGTATCAATATTTTACCGTCTTTCTTCTGGATTCCTAAAGCCATGCTTGAAATGGCCTTCTCTTTACTCTGTTCTTACTGAAAGCACGGCATATTTATAAATGCAAAAGTCCCAGCTCGTTAGTGGTTCCCTATCACCAGAAGCAGTGGCTTCAAACCTTTTTGATCCTTAACTCACAAGGAAGGAACCCTTAAGAATTTTAAACTTGAGAGTGGTCTGATCAGATTTGCTGTATTCTGGATGAATTACAGTAAACCCAGGGGAAAGGGAACCTAGAATATAGGAATAAGCACTGTGTACAAAGGGGGATTTAAGAATGCCCATGTTCTCATGCATTTCTAAACCCAGAGGAGCTTGCAAAATATGAAGGCTTACTAGAGGCTTAAAAATTAAAAAAAATTTTTTTTCAAGCTCTATGTGACCCAGATGAAGGCCAAGGAAGGTTGAATGGAGCATAAAATCATTAGGGTCTTGGAGTCTAGGAAG